GTGTTTTGGTTGGATTAGTGTTTGTATGGTTTGGTTGGTTAATGAAATGAACACAAACGACGTGTTTTAGAGCTAAACAAATAATGCTTAAATAACAATTCAAGAAGCTCATTTGATAAAAGTTTGATAGTTCGGTCAAACAAACTTGATTTCATAAGGGAGTAATTTTTAGGGTTGAATGGTTGAAAACAAGCAGGCCCCAGCTTTTAATTGAATCGGCGAAGATGGCTCAAGAGCTGAAGCCAAATCAGACTCCGTCCAGGCCATCGCTCCACCAAATGGATGCGAACGAAGAAGACGATACTGTCAAGTAACTTCAAGAATGCTCTGTCCATTACCTAGCTTTACAGGGTTGCCTTGTTGAAAAGAACAAATGAAGTCTTACTGTGAGGACTGTAATTGGGTTTTGTACTGTCTTTATTCTCATGATAATATGGTTTATTCTAAAAAACCAAAAAAAAAACTTGATTGTATAAAACTAAGGGAGACTATACTGCCTCTTCATTAGCAGGCTCTTTTCTTTTTTATATTTTTTATTGATCGGGGATTTGTTTTCGTTTTAGGCAAACCCTCATTTATTTATTTTAGCAAAACTAAGTGCGCAATAATATACTTCACAACTCTAGTCATTGAATCATATCAGACTCCTATCAATCTAACATGTTGTTTGAAGAGCCCGCTCGAGGAAAAGGAGTGCCGAGTGAGCAGCCCTGTGCACCATTTGTAGCTCCTATGTAGGGAAAATATGGATCTTCAAGAGAGCGCCTGATTGCAAAATGAAAACAATGGGCTCTTGGTCATCTTCCCCACAAGTAATTAAAATTCCCCATTTTAAAACTTTGCAGTTAACTTTATTTGCATTTCTATTGTCAATTTGTGTACTTCTGAATATCTATCATCTTTGGGTTACGATTTTCTTTCATTCTACAAAAAAACATGTTAGTTAACATAAGAAGTTAGTTTCTATTAAAGAAATAAGAAGTATGTAAGTGTGTATTTTAAGAGGAATGTTCTACTCGGTTTATCAATATGAGATTTAGGAGTAATGTGAAATCATTTAAAAGTGGAAGGATTGATTTGTTGTTGACCAAACCTGAGGGATGTTGCCCTTAAGAATGAGAAACCATGTTTTTCTGAATTAGAAAAAGGCAATATTAGATTATCTTCCGTGACCAGCTTGTGCAGTTGATATGTATGTCTGCTACCCCCAAATTTGAGACTTTACTAATCTTCTTATGTCAATTAATTTTGTCTTTTTTATTATTGTATAGTATGATTTCACTAGGCTGCTTTTGGGGAATAAAAAATATGTGGAGATTGTAGCATCTGATTTGATTCAGAGCAAAATGGGATAGAAGCTACACTAACGATTCAACATCTTATTTGATTGAGAAAGAGATCAAATGGGTAATAACTCATAGATACCAAGATTTTAGCCTTTATGGGGAGAATTTCTGTCTTACTTTTCTGTTAAGAACAACTTCAACTGAGTTGTTGTGTTTGGGAATATTTTTTCTCTGCTTTAATAATATATTCTAAAAAAGTTCTTTTTTTGCAGTGTTGTTGGCTAATCGACCTGTTGACTTGCTCCTTTTACCTGGTAAGTTCATTATCTAATCACAAGGTGATAGCTTAAGTTACACTGCCTTTATCTTCTATTATCCTTCTTGGGTTTCCCTGCTGAAGGACTTGGATTTAATAAAGCTGGAAGACATTTAGGCCAGGGTGGAGGGTAAGTTTCACATGGCTAACTTGTGTATATGTACTTCAAAGAGTTGTTATTCACTTCAGTTGGTTTGTTTCTATTCCCGTTGGAATTGCTTTTCTTTTATGCTTGTCATTGTGAAATGAGCATTCATAAATTCAATAATCACAGGTGCTAAATGGTTTGCACTCTTTGTTCTAAATGTTTGTGATTTGTGGTTGCTTTATGTGGTTACTTTGATTTGTGGCATTTTTCTCTTTGGAGTCGATAATATTTACCTTTTTTGGTGCACTCATTTAATTTACAAGAAGTACACACAGCAGAAATGGAGATTGAGTTCTAGTTTTCTTATATGCAGGTCGGGGAACAAGAATTAGAGTTAAGGAGATGAATGCAACGTTCTTGATCTTTTGGCTTTTTATCCGCCTTGTAGTATTTGTGTATTAGCACTTTCTTTGAATTATTTTTGCCGTCATTTGACTTCTCCTGTTTACTTATTTAGTTCTAGAGTATACCATTGTGAATTATGTACATTTACAATTGTAATAATGAATGGTGATTTAAATTTAATGAAATGTTGTAGGGATGTGTGAGAGGTATCTATTCCAATAGGTAAACCCTTTTTAAATAGAGATGGAGTTAGGGTTATACAAAGACTGGGCCTCATGGGCCCATTAGCTCAATACATAATATACTGGTACATATTCTATATATAATGATAGCACACTACAAGTAATTTCCTATAACACTCCCCTTTGTGCTGAGTTGTAGATAGAATGTTCCACCCCCTGTTGCGTTGTGGAATCTTCGTCAAGTAACAAAAAAAAAACCTTGTGGGAAAAATAAACCTTGACAAAGGACTAGAGTTTATTGGACTTCGTTCATTGAGTCCTTTCGGATTCTTTACTTTGATCGATACTCACAGTTACCTCGTTAAAAACCTTACCAAGTAAAAAAACCCAATGGGAGAAAAATAAAGCTTGGTTTAAGGAAAGAGTATAACATGAGGGTGTAAGACTCCCCTTGAAGTCTACACCTCCCCCTGATATTTACATTAATCGAGGAATTTCAGAAAGCTTACGCATTCCAATATTTTTCACATGTTTTTTGAATGTGGCCTTGGGCAAGGACTTGGTAAACAAGTCTGCTACGTTTTCTTCCGAGCTTATTTGATTTACTTGAATCTTGAGGAAGGCCCGTTGTTGCTGATTGTAGAACTTAGGAGATATGTGTTTTGTATTGTCACCCTTGATGTATCCTAATTTCATTTGTTCGATACAGGCTGCATTATCCTCGTAGATGCAGGTTAGCTCTTCAGTGATAGGCTTTAAACCACTGGTTCCTCGAATGTGTGTAATGATAGCTCTTAACCATATACACTCACAGACCGCCTCATGTAGAGCAATGATCTCTGAGTGGTTCGAGGAGGTAGCCACAAGGGTTTGCTTAGTTGATCTCCAGGATATCGTCGTGTTCCCGATTGTGAAAACATAGCGAGTTTGGGAATGGCCTTTGTGAGGGTCGGAGAGTTACCCAGCATCAGCAAAACCTACCAAGACATCATTTGAGGTATTCAAGGGGTGACCGTTTTGTCCTTTGTGACCATAACTCCATTTGTGGTTTTCTTCGTCTCTCCATAGGGAAAGAACAGTCCCAAGTCACTGATCCCTTTAAGATATCTAAAGATATTCTTGATACCTTTCCAGTGACGCTGCGTAGGCGCAGAGCTAAATCTAGCTAACAAGTTCACTGAGAATGCTATATCGGGCCGAGTGCATTTTGCTAGGTACAATAATGCACCTATTGCACTTATGTATGGAATTTCAGCTCCTAATGCCTCTTCGTCATCTTCCTTTGGACGAAATGGATCCCTTTTAGGATCTAGACTTCGGCCGACCATGGGAGTGCTAGCAGGGTGCGCTTTATCCATGTTGAATCGCCTGAGTACCTTTTGGATATACACAGACTGGTGGATTAATGCTCCACAAACTCGATGTTCTAATTCAAGACCTAGACAAAATCGAGTTTTCCCAAGGTCTTTCATCTCAAACTCGGATTTTAAATAGCTTGCGATTTCTCTTATTTCATCAAGAGTGCCGATTATGTTCATGTCGTCGACATATACTACTAAGATTGCAAATCCAGATTTTTGAAGCAATATTCATAATTAGAAAATCCTACAGAAGTTTTTTTACAAACATGTAATAAACAACATAGTGGTAATAGTGTAGAGTACCATATAAAGAGGCCAGAATGGGATTATATATGGATACACTCAATACACTGAAAGAACACAGAGTGTAATAGAAATAATAAATAACAAAAAGAATAATGAAATCAATTTTTTCATTCAATACACAATATGGAGTAAACAAAAATATCAAAAAATTAAATTTCGAAATATTAACACTATTTGCTGCGGTTCTGACACGATCGCACCAAAAACATTGAAAAGTTTAACTTTTTGCTGTGGTCGTGCCACAACCGCATCAAATAGTTATAAATTTTGAATATTTGCTGCGTTTTTTCTAAGAATCACAGCAATTAGGTAGCAGCAAATAAGAAAAATTCTAGTAGTGAGTGATACGATGAAATTCTTTGCATTCCAACTTGGTATCAGAGCTAGCTGGGCCAATTCTCTAGACGAGTATGTGAGAATTTGTCCTCGAGATGCACAACATGTGAGTTTTTATTATCTTGAAAGATGTTTGTGAAATGGTTCGAGGCTTCCATGGCCGTAGAGTTGGGTTCAAGAATGGTATGCAAGAGGTCATGGGAGATGGTACCGTATATCCATTGGAGCACGACGACGTCCAAGCGGGTCTAGAGGAGGGGATCGCTGGTGTCGGAAGTTGAGTCGGTGGCGGCATCTGTGGCATCATCCGTGGCAGCGGAAGGTTGTGTTCTAGAACATCGTAGGCTCGTGCGGTAATCTTGAAAAGATTAGCGCAAGATGAATATTGGGTCTTTGCGGTGTCAAGGATTACGGGGATTAAGTTTTTGATAGAGGTAACCGCAAGAGCGGGGTGAAACTAATTTTTGGTGGAAGAAACCATGGTAGAGGGATGAAGAAGAAAATGGCCTGATACCAAGTTGGAATGCAAAGTACTTTACTGTATCACTTCTGTGATTTAGGAGGAAAATCTTTCACTATATCATAAATATTTTTCGATAGGAGGATCAAATCGATAAATGTTTAGGTCAAATACTTGGTCATATACAACTTTTATGAATGAGTCATATACGGGTTTGGGGTCCCTCCAAATTGGCCTTGATCAATAGCTTGAGTTTGCATGAGAGATCGTATAATACGTGTATAAGTTATTTATATTCAAAAAGCAACCAAGATTACAAACGCCACATTCATGTTACTTACAATCATACACAACATTTGTTCGCTCACTTTAAATGTTCTCTGCATCTACACAATAATGCATGCAGCATTTTGACAGCTCTAAGAACAGGTTGCTACAACTTAATGGTCCTATGATAAAGTGTTTTAAGGAAACAAACTAAAAAGCATGGGAGGAATAACAACATACAGAATATATTCATAACTATTAACAAATATAAACACTTAATTTGGCAGCACAAAACCGCCGATCATCTCCCACCTATCGAGCATCTTCAGAGGTGAACGGATCTCCGAATCCCGTAGGCTTTGAAGGAATGCTCCCTTTGCTGTCTTGACTGATCCCACTTAGATGTCCAGTTTTTTCGCTCTGCCAAGCAATCAACATTTGAGGAAGAGGTAAGTCGAAATCTAAATCGATGACAAAGTCTTCGGCTTCTTCGACAGGTTTCCACTTGTCAACCAGTTGGGACAGCACGTTCACAGCGTGTCCCATATCAGGCCGGTGATGAGGATCTCTGGCAGTGCAATGTCCGGCTAACTCAGTCACTGTACAAATACTATCGTAGATATCTTCACTTGCATCCATAGATGGGTCAATGGAAGCAATGAGCTTTTCTTTGTCCGACTTTATTTCCCAAAACCACTCGACTAAATATCGGCTTTCCTCTGGCCTTTGTTCATCTAGAGCTGTTAATCCGGTCAATAGCTCCAGCAGCACCACCCCGTAGCTGAACACATCAACTTTTGTAGTAACTTTTCCTGTCACTGAAAAATAGTGTACATTAGGGCAAGTGTCGCCCGTTAATGCCAAACCATGCCACGAAAAATTCAGTATGGTAATAAGTTACTCTTATTTATGTTGGAAAACATAGTACTATTCAAGAATTTTGCATTGAATTTACTCCAAAAGTTTCCCTTTTGGCTTGTCTATCTTATTAGCCAGATTTTTCAGCAAACACTATTGGTCTGTTTGGAGTTTGGAACGTGAAGATGTTATAGAAAGAAAACACAGAGGAAAATATAATGGAAATCAATAAGAAAAAAGGATATTGGAAAAATAAAATATTGGTTTAAACTTCAACTCACTTAGTTTATTGTTGATATTTGTTCAAAATCATTTTTAGCTACTTATTACTAGTATAGAAAGACTAGCAAAAATAAACATATGTCAATATTTTTAAAGAATAGTCTTGTTAATTTGTTTTTGTATTTTCTTAGGTAAAACAAATAAGTAAATGGCTTTTTCCTATACTATGTACAATTTCCCCCTTTTCCTAGCATTTTCTGAGATCCAAACATATCCTAACTATTTTAAACCCTAATTAAAGAAAATGAATGAGATTTCACCAAAATAATAAGGGTAATAGGGTATGTATGGGATGTGAAAATGTCTCGAACCGAAAACTCAAAAATGACTGATATTAAAGAAAAGACAATTCTACTTTCATTTGTAGAAATTGTTTTTTTATCGTAATAAAGAAGTATATTCGATATTTAAATAGTTTATCAGATTTTGAGATTTCAGCAGCAAATTAGCAAATTCAACAGATTCAAACATTAAGGGCACTGATGCTCATTTGATCAAAACATGTCTAACAATGAGCGTATTATGAACTACTAGTAAAAGAGAATAAATGACAACTAATTACCTGCATATTCAGGAGCAAGGTACCCAAATGTCCCAGCAAGCCTAGTTTCAACAGAACTCTCTCTGTCAGGAGCAAGTTTTACCAATCCAAAGTCTGCAACCTTAGCCCTAAAATCACTTCCAAGAAGAATATTGGATGATTTGAGATCTCGGTGTATAAAGCTATAGTGAGCAAGACTGTGGAGATACTCCACCCCCCTAGCAACATCCAAAGCTATACCCAACCTTCTCATCCATGACAGAGGCTCAAGGTTCAATTTTCTCCAACAGAAAAGATGCCTGCTTAAAGCTCCCTCAGCCATATACTCATAGACCAAGAGCTTCTCATTCCCATCAACAGAATAACCCAAAAGTGTCACCAGGTGGCGATGTCGTACATTAGAAAGAACTTCAATTTCGGACTGAAATTCATCCAGTGCTTTTTTACTAATGATCCCACCTTCCATTCTCTTCACTGCAAGTTGAGTCCCATCTTTCAAAACCCCTTTGTATACCACTCCGAACCCGCCACGCCCGAGCTCATTCTCAGGTGCAAAATCATTAGTAACTGCCCGAAGCACTCGCACCGAAATGATTCCAGATTCCAACCCACCACTACTAGTAAATCTTGGGGAATTATCAGATATTTGATTCTTCAATTCTTGGCTGGATAGGTCTTTCGGATAAACCATGGGTCCACCAGTAGTCTTTTTGTGCATTTTCCTCTTCCTGAGGCAACTAAACATAGATATTATTCCGATGAGTAAAAAAGTAGCACAGATCGCCCCGGTGATGATGATTACAATAGGCTTGGAAGAACTTTGTGGTTTCATCAAAACTTTAGGAGACTTTAGGGCCGAACCCGAACTTGGTCTTGAATGTGAATCAGAAACCGGGGTTGCGGGTTGTGGGTGGTGAGCAATGGATGAAGAATTTAAACTTGCAGGCAATGGACTGATGTCTATTGTTGGAGAAGATGGTGATGGAAGGGTTATATTGAAAGCTAAACTAGGTTTACCGTCGGTAAGAATCTTTACCCTATCAGGAAATTTGGGTAAATTTGGATCAAAATTGTTTCCACTTATATCCAAGAGTCTCAAAGATCCCAACTTTGTTAAATTTGATGGCACTTGTCCATGAAGCTTGTTTCCTGCTAAGTGAATTTCAAGAAGTGAGCCCAAGGCAGCAAGTGAAGGACTTATAGTACCACTGAGGTTAAGCTTCTGGAGGTTAATAACAGAAACATGCCCATTTGGGGTGCAACTAATGCCAAACCACGGCCCTTTGCAAGGATAATTCCCAACCCACTCACTAGCTATGTGAAGCGGATAGTTCAAATCATGCAGAAATTCCAAAAGCGCATTCACTTCAGGAGCACAAAGCTCTCCAGGTCTCTGTTGACAGAAAGAATTTGAAGAATATGTGACATTAGCTGCTTTAAACATTGGGATTCCCCCCATCAACTTATTATTATTCAAATCCAATGACAGGAGACTTAAATCAGCCAAACCTTGAGGAACCAGACCGACGAGGTCGTTCCCGTTAAGGTTTAGGTTCTTCAGAGAAGTCAGATCCCCAATGGAATCTGGGATAGGTCCCGTAAATTTGTTCCCGTGAAGCCAAAGTGATTCAAGCCCAACCATGGATCCTATAACCTCTATTGGACCACTCAATTTAACACCATCCTGATTATTCAACCATAAGACCTGCAGAAGTGAACCTCCAAAACTTTCCGGAATCACACCTTCAAGCCTGTTATAAGACAACTTCAATGTGCTAAGAGAAGACATATTTCCAAAGAAATCAGGAAATGGGCCGGCAATATTGCAAGATGAACATGAAAAATTAGACAGCTGAGTTGATTCTTGAAGCTCACTGGGAATCGACCAGCCTGTAGTCTCATTAAAAGGGTTATCATCCAATGCTAAAGCTTGAATATTACTCAGCCCGTGGAAGAAATCCGCGGGTATGGTATCAAACTGATTCTCATCCAAGTAGGCAAACTTCAAATTCGACAACCCATTAAAGGTGGGCAATTTCCCGTACAATTTGTTCTTCTGGAGACCTAGGTTTTGCAGCTCATCGAGCTGGTTGAAGTCTTGGGGCAAAACCCCCTTAAGTCCCAGTCCTTTGGCCTGGATTTGGGTGACCCTTCCACCAGAGCAGAACACATAAGGCCATGCAGGAGGGCCACACGGGTCACTCCCCTTCTTGTCGGGCCATTTCAGGAGCTCTGGATTTTCCAACCCGTTTCGGAACTCGTTGAGAATCCTGAAATCATTCGGGTCTGTCACGCTCCAAACCACATTACCCAACAGTGCAAGAACAGCAATGGAGTTATACACATATGCACAAAAAAAGAGTCTTTGACCCACACCCATAGTCATGATTCTTCTCCATGATTGTTCGACATTTTCAGATAAAATCTTTAAGGATAAAGTTCAGAAGAAGGTACAGCAAGAAATCAAGAATAGAACAAACCTTGTCCGGATGGCAGACAATGGTGGTGGGCTGGTGGAGCCTCAATGTGGGGGGTGTCTGGGAAAGAGGAGATGCGGAATTGGGTTAAAAAAAATCCATGTTCTTTAGGTTTTTGAATCTTCTGTGCATTCTGAATCAAACCTTGATGAAGATGGAGGGCAACTCAGCAAGATTCTTGACCCTCTCCCTCACTCTTTGTTCCGTGAGTGTTTGTTTACTTCTGTTCTGTTGTTCGAAATACCTCTCTGTTTTGTTTTGTTTTCTTTGTGCTCTTTTTGCCGGTTCAATGTACCAAATCCCAAATTTGGCACGTTAGTCTCTCCTCATTCAAAAAATGCATGAAATTACATTTTGTTTTAATTAATTATGGGTAAAATGCTTTCTATGAATAAATTCAATTGTCAAATATAAGAAAAATGATTAACATTTTTGTATGATTTAGAGATTTTGACATATTTACTTGCATATTCAATCAGAATATTAGGAAAAGTGGTCTCAAAATCATTAAATTTAGTCATAAAAGGAGTTTTGTGCATGATTAATTAAAACACAAAGGGTTTGACGCATTTTTCAAATCACATGGTCTAATTCGTTGAATTTCTATATCACGAGGGGGTTTGGTGCATTAAAACCCTTTTTGCTAACTCCTTGTTGCTTACTTTTTCATTAAAAAAACCATTATTCCGTATATTTTTTCTTTTGGTTTTGACTTTTTTGAGTTGTGATTAGTTCATATAATTGTGTTATTATTGGTACAATTTCGAATCAAAATCGATTAGATGCTCACATCAATAACAATGTACTACTCATAATCGTACAGCTTTTGATGTGATATTTAACTAGATTACAAAATAATTATCCCTTCAGGAACAAAATAATTCATCATTTTTTCAATTTAAAGTTTTTAATTTCTAGCACTATTTATGCAAATAATTCAGCTCCCTTTGACTTCATATTTTACATGATTGAGTTTTTTGTTAATTTTTTCAGTTTGATCGAACTTCTAATTTATATTTTAAACCATGTAAAGAAAACCTTGATCATATGTTATGGGCATATAAAATACTACTATCTCCGTCCCACTAACATTGAAACATGAAAATGTGACAAGGTTGTTAAGAAATGTGATTTTATGTGGTTGATATAAAATTGATAAAGTAAAAATAAAATAAATATTAATTTAGAGCCACACAAATTTTACTAAATTCGACATGAGACAATCTTAGTTAAATTTCCCAAAAAAGAAAAATAAGACCATCTTAGTCGGACGGAGAGAATAAAATTTTTTTTAAAATGTTACGGAGTATTAGTAAACAAGTCATTGGTAAACAAGTCGGTCAATACATATAATAGAGGTCAATAAAAAACAAATAATAGAATCGACTATCAGCTAATCGTCACGGTTGATTGCCAAACATCCCATTTATAGCAAACCACCCCATCTTTCACAAGGAAAAACTTTTTTTTTCTTTTATCAGATTGTAATAAAATTAGTACAGTTTGTTCCAATGTACCGTACGTAGTATTAAGCAAATCAAACATTTTACGAAAGTACAGTGCAATTAGATTTGTGATCAAATATGTTTTGTATTTCCTTTTCAGGTAAGAGAGTTACCTCAACATCTGCTTAAAAACTAAGAAGCATGTCGTAGTAAAATTATAAACGAAAATGACAGTTGCAATAAAATAAAAAAATTAAAATGTCTATTTAGTATATACAACGTATTATTATGAAATCAAAGAAGATATATAGATGACTCGTACTAAAAAGTAGGTCGTGACATTTAAGATTGAATTAAACAAGGGAATTATCTATTTAAAAGTAGGGGCTACCGGCTACCGGCTACCATATCGTCCGTACTACTTCATACTACGCGTCGAGTAAAAGCCCCTAAGCAAAAGTCTCCAAAGAACGGAAGGCTCAACACTAATCTTGGATCTAGGGTATTGGTGATACAATAAAGTATATAAAAAAAATAAAAAATAAATTGATTGATTCACTCAAATAGTCTTGCTTGTATTCACGCAGTAATTACGATTACACAGGAATGGTTGAACGGCAATTACAGTCCAACAGCTAATACAAGAGATAGAATGCAATATGAGCTAGTGAGTAAACGAATACTAATCCCTTACAATGGAATAAATACTGCTATTTATACTTGAGGTGGGTAGGTGAGAGGTATGAGGTGCTCCAAGATGATTGGTTGCTTTCCATGCTACTTGTGCACTCATGCTCCCACTTGCAGCGTCCATACTCTGGTATTAAATGCAGCCTGCTATTTGAATGAATCTTCATTTGGGGTTGAGTCCTGCTAAGCCACTACCCATGAGTAAACGGATTACCCAAGTGTTAATTATACACCGTTCAGGATGTGCCGAACGGGTCTTCCCTTTAGTCACCCAAATCCCGTTCGAGGCCCGATGATTTCCTCTGGACTTTCTCCTGCTCTTGAGCCTTAGGAATATTTTGGACCGATATATTGGACCGGAGCTTAATATCCCATCACTACGTATTATCTAAAAGATGTCGGATTAATTTGGAAGTGTTATGAATTGTAATGCACTTGAGATTGTATGCAACTTCCCTCGTAGTCATAGACTACCTCCATACTTAAATAGTTTCAAATTATTCATATGTTCTATTTTGATTATATTTTATTTACCAATTCATTTAAAATTTATTTTCTCAAAAATGTAATTAAATTCTTCTAACTCTAAATTTCCAAAAACTACATTTTTTCAAAAGTTTTACAATTTAAAAAATGAAATATTTTAATGATTGAAATTATGTGTTGACAAATGTGAAAATAGAAGTAGTGTGTAACTAATATAGAAGGGAGGAAGTATGTTCACATTTCCATGAAGTAGATAAATATATCATCCAGAGATAACAATAGGTGGGGCATTGCATACAATTATATGATTATATCGAGTGCGTATACCGTGCAACGGGTGCATGGTGCTCACCATGCACTCATTGAATATTATTTTCTCTTTTTTTAAAAATGGTAATAATTTTTTTATTTTTGATCCGATTTTTATAAAATTTATATCCACATTTTTTATTTTTCATTATCTTTCAAATGAGACCAATATTGCCTATGTAATTTTAACATATTAACATTTGTGTGTAAAATATGTAACTTTAAGTGTTAAAATATGTAACTCACGTTCAGTCAGATCAAATGCAACTCGTGTGTATAAATATGTATCTCTACGTGTAACAATATGTAACTTTACGTAAAAAAATATGTAACTCGCATTCAGACAGGTCACATGCAACTCGTGTATATAAATATGTAACTCGCGTGTATAAATATGTAACTTTACGTGTAAAAATATGTAACTTTACGTGTAAATATATGTAAGTCGCGTTCAGACATGTCAAATGCAACTCGTGTGTATATATATATGTAACTCGCTTATAAAAAGATGTAACTTGCTTATAAAAAGATGTAACTCGCTTATAAAAAGATGTAACTTGCTTATAAAAAGATGTAACTCGCTCATAAAAAGATGTAACTCAATGTATTATCAAATGTAACTGAGGCCACTGATCCACTCCCAAACAGATTCGATCTTCTATTTCACAAACCTATCATCTCCCAAACAGATTCGATTTTTCTTATAATCCAATACTCATTAATATAATAGTTCGATAATTTCTTAAAATTACATACACAATATTGGTCTCATTTGAAAGATCATGAAAAATAAAAAATGTTGATATAAATTTTATAAAAATCGGATCAAAAATAAAAAAGTTATTATCATTTTTAACAACAAAAGCGAAAAAAAAAGCAGATGCTGCGTCGTTTTTGCAACCGGGCGCACCATCCTCACGGTGCGCGGGTTGCACCGTATAATTTGCCGGTTATATCCGTCATATTAGATAATTTATTTGCATGGTAACCACCTCATTATCCAATAGATTCTTTCCTTCTAAAGTATAACCTCTCCGATGAATATGTGAGTAATCATTTTCTTAGAGTCATAAATATTTTGATATTGATATCAATATTTACAGCCCATAGTACTCACCTCTTATTTCTCGCGCCTTTAATATATTCCATCCGTCCCAAATTATTTTGCAAAGTCAATATTTTTTGGTTAATCAATAATAAAAGTCAATTCTCTCTATCGGTAATTAACTCAATTGTTAATAAATAAAATTTACATATTCAGAAACTAAAATAAAATCTACTCAAAGTTGTAAACTTTAAATTAGAATATAATTAAAAATTGACATCCTAATTAAACAAATAAAATGAAATTTTTTGACCAAGAAAAGTCAAATTTACAATCAATTTGAGAGAAATGTAGTAATTCAAATAAAAATTATTCTATTTTCAAGCTTTTTTCACGAATGGGATATGTGTAGAGTTGCTATTTAAAGATACTTTGTCTGGAATTGCTCTCTCTCTAGGGTTACCCACCGATAACGCCTAGGATATACCGTCGCTGGTGGTTTCTTACCAGGCTTGAGTCAGGAGAACCGAGTGAAGCGAGACTCCTGTTGCCGAGCTTCGTTCTCGAAGCGTCGGTGCTCTACCTCTTGGGCTTTGATTACGTCTTCGAGTCGGTTAGGACGTTTGGGAGCGGGCAAGCTTTGGATCGCTTCGGGAGTAGATCCGGCCACCGTGTTTACCAAGAGAAAGAGGGAGAAGGGGCGTCTGTATGGAAAGCGTGGTAGACAAGTACAGACAGATGGCTTTGGCGGAGGAGGAGGAAGACCTGGATCTCGATGATACGGAGGCAGGCGAGGAGCTGAAGGAGGAGATTAGGCCAAGTTTCCCAGTGGTCGGGGTGCTGCTGACGGACCGAAAGGTCCGATTCCCGGCGATCAAGGAGATGTTAGAGTCGCTATGGAGACCGGGTAAAGGTCTATCAGTCAGAGAAGTCGGGGAGAAAAGGTATCTATTTACTTTTTATCATCATTTAGATATGAATCGGGTTCTGGATGGAGGACCATGGAAATTTGAGAAAAAATTATTGTTATTAAAAGAGGTTAAAACTGATGATATTCCTCATAAAATTGTCCTAAATGAGACTGACTTCTGGGTCCAGGATCATAATGTGCCTTATAGTTTGGTTAATTTAGGTACGGCCCGGAGAGTTGGAAATTTTATAGGAAGGTTTATAAAATACGATGATAACCAGAATAGTGAAAAGTGGGACTGTGGAAGACCTATATGAGAATATGAGTGTGTATGAATGTGGAAAAAGTAATGAAAAGGGGTACCAGTTTGAACAAGGATGGCAAAAGTTACTGAGTAGATTTTAAATATGAGAAACTGCCAAACTTCTGTTTTATCTGTGGATTAATTGGACACTCAGACAAATTCCACCACTTGAACTACGAAGAAGATCTTGTTTTGGAGAAAAAGTTTGGAGTTCATCTTAGAGCAGGTAGTGGAGGGAAGACGAGCCCTACAGGAGGAAACCAATGGTTGCTGGAGGGTTCTTCGAGCTCTGGCAGAGACCATAGGTACGTGGAGGGGGCTAAATCAGAGGATAGGATGAGAGTCGAGAGAAAGGATTCATGGGCTATGTTAGAACAGAGTATAACAAAGGGTGTAGGAGGTGAGAATAATGAAGAAGTAACAGAACAGAAGCGCAGGAGGCTATGGGAGACACAGGGAGATGATCTGCAAGGAAAGGAAAGTATGGCACTCGATGAGACAAAAAACGGGGAGGAGGCGGACTTCGAGCACTAGGCCCGCCTAAGAAGATTAAGAGCCCGAAGACATGAATCTTGATGAGGGCGCAGAGCAAGCAGATCGGGAGGCAGACATTTATTTTTTATTTTAGCTTTTATTACTTCTCAGACTGTTCCATTTGTTTTTTATTTTGGTTAGCTGTTGTTTTTCCTGTTTGTAAGACATTGGATTTAGATGTGGGTGACAACGAAATTGGGGTAACCATTTTTGGCTCATTTGTGCCCATTAATGGATCAGCGAGTTATATTGCTTCTGATAAGATGATTAACTCTGAGTCTGGTTCGCGGGACAACGATTGTCACGATTCTATTTGTCAGATTACCCATCATCTAAATGTTGAGATATCAATATAAGCCAAATTCTTCAAAAAAAGTTTTTTTCACGAATGTGACGATTGCTTGCCCCGGTGGAAGTTTGAAGATTCTGTCCACGGGACTTGGGTGGGTTCCATTTGACTCCGCACCTATTTCGTCGGCGCACAACTATTTGTCGCTCTCTCCGAACCTCTCACCTTCCTTAAATAATTCCACCGACCGCAACATCATGCATTAATTTAATTTCTAAAGAACCAAAACAAATATCTCACCGAATAATGGATACAAAAACATACACTGAACTTGAAATTAATACTTGAGAATAATCAGATTATGCCAAGGGCATTTACTTATGCATTACAATAATGGTCTATATATATAGTATATGTGTGTCTATATTGTATACTCTACTAGAATGCATAACATTTTTCTTAACAACCAGTACTACTCGTACACGCTAGGTTACACACCGGTTTATATGCCCAAATGTAATTGTATGTGCGCAGATAAATGATTTTAGTTTTAATAATGAGAAGTATATGTGATCCATAATTGTCTGTGCACAAATATTTTTGATGGATAATATACCCGGGGGTAGCTTATCCGAGGGGTTATTGCGGAGAATAACTAGAGAGAAGTCAGAGCAAGTGAGCAAGAGAGAGAGTGTATATTCGATATGTATTAAGCGTGGTTTGCTTGGATTACAAATGGGGAAAAAGGGGCGCTATTTATAGTAGTGATAAATGTGAGATAGGGACACGTGTCATCATTCAATGGCCGAGGGGTCACATCAACTGATTGGCGCTGGCAGTCGCATGTGGCCGCATTTAATGCGGCTGTTGGATGTGACGTCGTACTTGGTACAGTGATTCAGGCGCGTGTGGAGAGGATATTGTGTCGAGAAAGGTGCCCTTGGTTGCAGATGATAAGCCGAGGGCTCTGAGTACCGGGGATCCCCTTAGTGCTGAGGGCTCTAGATGCCGAGGGCTACTGATTTTCGCCGTTTTCTCCCAGTAACTTTGTTTGCTTGAGTTGGCCATCCTGTGAGAATTTGGAGCCTTCGGCCAGGGGGCCGAAGGCACTCCCAATGTGCTACGTGGGTTGCTCAGTACTTGGGGCGCTGTGTTTTGGGCCTGCTGTGCTCCCTGGGCCTATTGGGCCTCCATCAGGATAGTAGGAGTCTATGGGCCGGGGGAGTTTAGTAGTAGGAGTATTACTAGTGGAGTTTTGATTGACAAAAATATGACCATTTTAGATCTAGACACAAAACTAACCATTTTTATTCCGTCGTTTCTATCGCGTTTCTCTCTCTCATTTCCGCATCTCCCTGCGCATCTCTTTCCGGACTCCCAGCTCATCTCTTCACAGCGCACCTTTCTGGTTGTGCCAAATTGCCGGCATCTCGAACGTGGCCTGCATCTCCGTCTCGAGAATTCGCCGCCTCCGTTGAAGAGAGTCTCCAACGCCAAACCATTGCAGGTCGGAAAAATCATCCCGCACCGCCACCAGATGATCACACCTTCTTCCTGTGCCGCTATTACAGCTCCACAACATCGTCGCGTGCCACCATAGAAGCTCTGACGCTCGCCTTCGTTTTCATCCCTTTCTGTCTCACGTCGGGGATGGAGAATCAGAGAAGATAGGCTATATTATTGGAGATCTGGATGGATTACCAGATCTGAGATGGAGATTAGCAAACCACCAAACTAGATCTGAAGATGGTGGTGGCTAGGATGAGGTGGTGGTGGTCAGAGCTGGGTTGGGCTGTCAAAGGTAGGGCTGAGAAGGGGTGGGTTAAGTTGGAGCTGGGCTGTTCGTTATCGGAGCTGGGGGTGGGACAGGGCAGTGGAGCAGGGGAGGGGTGCTGGGGAACTGGCGCTTAGGGCTAGGTGTAAGTCAAGGGAGGTGGTTGGGTTTTCGGGGCGGCGGTGGGGTTTCCGGGGAGGCAGTGGTCGGAGGTTATGACGGTTGTGGGCTGATAAACTGACGAGGTGGCAGCGGTCACTGATGGGGGGGGGGGGGGGGGGGGGAAGCAGTCACTGACAAGGGGCAGCGTCAGTCACTAATGAGGGACATCAGCAGTCACTGATCGGAGAGCGACAGTCACCGATCCGAGCAGTGGCAGTCAATGGATGGGGCGGCAGCTGTCATAGGACGAGGACAGTGGTACGGGCGGTGGCCACAGTGACATGGGGCCGTGGCTACAGTGACACGGGCGGTGACCACAGTGACACGGACGGTGGCTAAAGTGACACCAGTGGTATATTTTCTCACTATATGGGAGTGATCCATATAGTGGGGCGGCGTCACCTATATGGCACTGACGAGGGGCGGCGTCGGTCGTTGAAATTTTAAATGAAATTTGGTATGAGTAAACTAGACTTAATGAATAAGATGCTCAAAAAAATTCATCAAAAAATTCCACCAGGAACCTCCCCAAATGGCGACGGCCGGACAATAAGGACTTATTTGACCCTTTTTATGCAATTTCGAGAAGCAGTCTGACCTGTATCTCTTTCTTTTTTTTTATAAGTACTACTTAAATCTTGAAAGCATTACTTTCCAGTTGAGAGTAATATTTGATTGAAAATAATAAAGCCATGACTAAAAAGAAGTGAAAATGGTTTACAAATATGTTTTTTTATAAATTCTCGTAAAGTAATCTCTTTTGGAACTATGAATTGAAAGAATTGATTTTTTTATAGAAGTAGAATTTATGTGATTGACATTAAATTTATGAAGTGTTTTTTTCTATCTATATTAACGTTGTAAAGTACTAGTATTCACACGGTCAACATAACTATATTTTAATCCCTAATTTCATATAGTAGAGTTTAATTATTTTCAATTTACTTTTTTGTGATTCAGTAGAAATTTTAATGTAATTTATGAATATTCAATTTTCAATTATTAAAATTAACATATATTTTAACAGGGACTCAGGGAGTGATTTATTATATATGATCAGTTAAACATGGAACCTTGAAATGGGATGGAAAGAGTCAGGGATGAATTTAAGGGGGGCACGGGGGCGACCGTCCCCCTTGGATTTTCAAAATTTTCTACAATATACGTAATTTTTTCCTAAAATTTTCATACTTTGATTAGATTCGCCCCCCCCCCCCCCCCCCCCCCCTTAACTTTTAGTTTTCAGATTTATAGTCTCATACTCCCTCCGTTTCAGATTCTTTGACACAGTTTGACTTGTCAAGAATTAAGGAAAAAATGTTACTGAGGGGTAAATTTTACTATAGAGTACACTGTTTGACACTGTTTGAACACTGTTTGAACACTGTTTGGCATTGTTGGGCACTGTTTTGCACTGTTTTGGTAAAGATTTGTTTACCAAATAAGGAAATAAGGAAGTGTGTCATTGATTGTGAAACAGCCAAAAAAGTAAAGTGTGTCAAAGATTGTGAAACGGAGAGAGTATAATGTAATACTTACTTGGAGATTTAAAAGAAACACCTAAGATAATTTACACAACTTAAATAAATAAACAATAGAACAATTCATTGTTTAAGATTTATGATACTTATTATATAAAAATTCTTAGTTTTGTAATGTTTAATTATCTCTAATTGATAACTACTACCCAATTTTGTAAAATATATAACAAACGATATTAAATACGGGACACACTAGTCACACAGTTTACAAACGATATTAAATACGGGACACATTAGTCACACAGTTTACAAACGATGTGAAGTGAGTCCAAAATCTAAATATTTATTGACATTAAATTATACAATTCATTTATTTCTTATGTTCTAAAAAGACTTTATTGCATAGATAATAAACTTTAACTTAGTTTAACATTAATACAAATATAATATGAACTATATATATGAATTACCAATATAATATTATTCTAAAAAGAATAACTTCATACATACTATTATAATATTAAGAAAAGTCCCCGTGACTCATGAACACCCTCCTTGGTAGGCAAAAATTGTAATTTAAAAACTAGTTCTTTATTTTTATAAGATTCATGTATTTAAACAATGTAGAAGTTGTTTTAAAAGTATTTGTGAATATGTTCCTTATAAGTTCTTTATCTTCAAATAAAACGTTATATATCCTTTTTATTTTCAATTAAAATATTTTCCTTTTATTTGTCATTTCTTACGATTTAATGTATCAATACTTTTTTTCTAGAGCTCTTCAATTATAAAATTTAAGATATAGATTTAAATGTTGAAGTGTATGTATTAATGATTTTTTTTGAATAAAAATAACCGCAGAGCCTTACACTGGTGAAAAAATTCAACCCGCTACAATAGCAAAAAAAGTTCACCCCGCCACACCATTGAAAAAAATGACTCGCTAATCCAACAAAAAAAATCACCCCTCTTGACTCGAAATCCTAGATCCGTCCCTGAAAAGAGTATATATGAATGAACTCAAACAAGTATAAAAAATCTCTTTTAATTTAACATAGACTAAATAAGTGAACATAATAAGATCAAAAAATTGAGACCAATATAAGAGAAAAAACATGTTTCCTGTTTCTCGGTCGACCCCTAGTACTAAACCTGTAAAACGTTTGATCTTGGAATCGTTTATCAACCTCTCTGTAAAGGGTGGAGACAGGGAGGGGCGGGAGGGGGTCTTGGCCCCTGGAAGAAAAAAAATCTAAAGTATATACTCTATTTGTCCCAAAATCAACTTCCCACTTTCGTTCCTTAACTGTATGTCCCAAAATTAATTTCACACTTTTTCTCACTTCCTTATTTGACAACAGTGCAAAACAGTGCTAAACAGTGTCCAAACAGTAAAATTTACCCTCAGTAAGTTTATTTCCTTAATATGTGTAGAAAACGAAGTGTGAAGTTGTTTTTGGGGCGGAGGAAGTATTATGTATAAATACTTTGAATCTAGAGAAATATGTTGATATTTTAAACTTTGGTCCCGACAATGTAAAATTTTCAAAACTCGACCCCCTTAACCATATATTTCTAGCTCTGCCACTGCTTTGTGTTTGCATGTTCTTGAGGTTGGTCAAACATCGCTCTAGGATGCATCTCACCGACACATTTTGAACCTTAGACTTATGACTACTATAATTTTCTATAAAAAGTGAAGGTAGGTATGGAAATTTATGAAAACAAGATCAACAAAATGAACGTTTTTAACGTGGTATGAATAATGGATTGTTAGGTCTTATATTCATAAAGTGTGATAACACTTCAAAATTAAACTTGATGCTAGTTTAATTATCTCCTAAATTAAATGGTTACATGGAGAAATGGGGCAAATTGAAGGGTACAATTCGGCACAGTGATCATCAAAATAAATGGTTTGCAAACGATCATATTACACAACCAATTATTTCATTAAATGCATCTCCCTAATCCCTATTATGTAATCAATAATTATCTTTATTATTTGAATTAATGATACAATGAAGTGTGTGTTCATGGTTAAATAGGTGAGATTATTTTGAAAGATTATTTTGAAATAAAATTTGATGTCAAATATCAAATCCTTAAATAGGTGTGCACATCGTTCAAGAACTCACAAAACATCAGACAGACAAACACGTACTCTCATATCGGTTACCGACGGTAGGATTAGACATTGAATTATATGTGCTAAAAGCACAATAATTTGCTAACCACCGAATGGACAATTTGAAGCTAAGCCTACTGTGACCAAACGAAAGAGATCGTCCCACAAAACATCCATCAAATGATGAGTGCTCCAAACCACAATCTTAATAAAAAACAATCTAGTGTCCTGACTAATAAAACCAAAAACAACAAAATAGTAAACGAAAGAACAAGTCTCGAAATAAAGTCAAATAACCAACCGAAAAATTATGCACTTGAATAGTTGAATTCAAAATTCCAATAGATATAAAGGATCTTTCATAGGTAAATGATAAGAATTTAGTTTGTACAAAACCACCAGGTTCCGCTCATAAAGCCACGGGCTATACTCAATAACACGTCTCATAACAGTTTCATGGAAAAAGGCAAAGAGATACCTCTTATCATCAATTTCAACTTATATTTTTTATTGTATAAAAATATGTTTTACCAGGTTATATCTCAAAATAAATATTAGTGATTTAATTCTTCCTTCTTTTGAGTGGTTTATTTGATAATAAAATTAATATAATTTGAGTGGATTATAGAGCCCACTCAAACACATTATATTAATGTTAGATTATACAAACATATATGGAGAGCCGACTCATTAAGGGAGCAAATAGAGCCCATTAAGAGGATCCAATAATCTCATAAGTCCCTATTCTCTACAACCCAATCCAAAAAATCTCAAATCAAATATGCGAGCCTTACATAGAGTTACATTTAGCAATCGATCGAGTGCGATATGTTGGTCAAAAAGTTCAATATGTATCATTGAAAATTTTAGGAAAACTTGGGGAAAAAAATCCAATTATTTGTGATCCGTCATTAATAATCCTAACTGGATTATACTTGGATGGTCCCCATTATCTGGACCATTTTCAAAAAATAGCCCCTAACCAGTTACAACCTAGTGGTGCAAGTTAATTTGAAATGTCAACAATGCGTGAGCTATAAATAATCCCAATCATAGTGAATTTGCTTTATTAATATCAAATTTACCTCTTAATTTCTATAATCCCAACTATAGATTTAGAAATATTTTTATAAATTTCCAAACTAAATATTTTTAAACATGAAAGAATAATTACAAAAATTCTACAAATATAACAAAATTAAATAAAAAAATTTAGTCCTTTTTTATTTCTTTTGACTAAAATTTCATTTTCCTTTTTTTCCAATTTGATTTTCACA